TTATTCCGAATGTTTAAGTTGTTTTCCTCCTGCTTCCCATAATGTTCGTGGTTTTAAGATTTACTCTGCTTGTGAGATAGATTCAGCCCACACTGTATGCAAAACCTGACCCACACAAACATATGTCACAGACATAAACTAAAACACAACTGAGATTGTGCGCAAAAACTCAAGGCTGGACCAAACCGACGTCCCGCCCACAGAAGTCCGATCTCTGCACCTGCCCCGCGCGCACAGCAGCCACTCACTGCGCAAAGCACTTCCCACAACAACACATAGCCTACCTGCTGCCTCATACCTGCTCCACATTTATTCATGTCAGAAAGCACCACCGGCCACCATGTGGACGAGGCATGAGAACAGAAATTAAAGGAAGTCAGTTCTTTGCAGTGAAGTTTCTTGCCCACTGGATATGTCTGTATACCTAATCTACAGGAGTCGAGTGATATTTCATATGCGCTCAGCATGGATCCACTACAAGTGACGTGCTCGCATGGATATTGTTCGTCGTAACGTAGCTATAGCTTTGGACGATTGCTTCACCATATTCATTTAGATTAAGTTTCCCTGACCGCTCCTGCTGGGTTGGAGGTTTGTGATGGCAGCTATGGGAGAGATCGGGACGTTTTTACAGAGCCTGGAGGGTTTCGGACAGGTCGGATCACAGTTCTTCCTACCACCTCTAGGAGAAAACCTCGGGCTGTTGAATGATCATTTAGTTCCAGCAGAGAGACTGTCACGGAGCACCTCCGCAGATCTAACGCATTTGAAAGGGATCCTGCGGAGAAGACAGTTGTACTGCAGGACTGGATTTCACCTTGAAATACTCCCGGATGGCAGCGTGCAGGGCACGAGAAAGGACCACAGTCGTTTTGGTAATTTCCCACTTTCTTTTCAGCGTGTTTGATTTGTTTAAACAGAAAGTGAATTATAATATTTACCCACGTTGACCGTACGCTTTTAAAACAGGTTCTCTCGTTTTTATAGTCCTTATAGGTCAACTTAAAATTGTTCTGGTCAATTTTAAAGAATCCACAAATTCAATACCTTGATATGAACCAGGTAAAATGTAATAACAACTACTTTTTTAATTTCTAAAAAATAAATAAATAAATAACCGTGTCCTTTTCTGAATCTAATGGGCAAAAAACTTCTAAAGAACTTTTTTTTGTAAATTATATTTATTTTAACTCTATAATAGTATATGCAGTATACAGATGGAAAATGCATTGCATTTCAACTTCCACACAATGTGTGATGAGGGTTTAGACTTCAAAGAACATCTCCTGAACAATTGATTTATTCTTCTCCAGGTATTTTGGAGTTCATAAGCCTTGCAGTTGGATTAATAAGCATCCGTGGAGTGGACAGTGGTCTCTACCTTGGGATGAACGACAAGGGAGAACTTTACGGCTCTGTAAGCAGAGTTTTGACTTTTTAAGATCTTTTTTTACCTCCAAGAATGATTCTGCATAATTGTTGTTCTTATTCAAGCCCAGTAGATGGCATATATGTTTTATCATTTTGACCACCTCTCTCTGTGTTATTAATTATTGCATGAATTATATCACTAACATGTTTTTTGTTTCTTAGGAGAAACTCACAGCAGAATGTGTCTTTCGTGAGCAGTTTGAGGAGAACTGGTACAACACATACTCTTCTAATCTCTACAAGCATGGGGAGAGAGGAGCACGATATTTTGTGGCTCTCAACAAGGACGGCACGCCACGTGATGGGACAAAATCTAGGAGATATCAAAAGTTTACTCACTTTCTTCCAAGACCAGTGGACCCTGAAAAAGTTCCAGAACTTTACAAAGAAGTGCTTGGACACAGCTGAGACCATCAGTCCCAGTTAAGGGGTGAGAGGGATGCCCAGTTTCTTCTCTACATGAGGTGGAGATGCTAATGTTCGGCCACAGTGTCCAAACCTGAGATCTGCTCTGGAAATGCACTGACCAGTACTGATGGTGAAGAGAACAGTCTCAAAAGACTCCCTACGTGTGAAAGCCAAGCTGCAGTTGGTGCCTTTGTTGCTGGTTATAACAGACTAGGAGCATAACATGTCCTTGAAACCCAAAACTGAGGATTTTGGAGGTTTTAAACATGGTTCTGCTTTGCTCTGGAAATATTCAATATGGGTTAAGAAGGACTTGAAGGAACAATGCGTACATGATGCTCAGAGATGACAGAACTGGGACGGTGAAGAACAGGAGATGCCATCTCACATGATGTTATTTATACAGTTCTTGATACACATATTTATTGTATGTATTTATTTATTTGAAAATATAAATATATATTTTTACATCTAAAAGTAGATTTTTTTTTATTAGACCAAACAGTAGACGGTGCTTTGAAATAGTGGCAAAGCTGTTCTTTTTATGTGACGGAAGCTGTACAAGTTACTTATTATCACTGCTATGATATTAAGAAAGATTGTGATTTCCTATTGCAAATGTATGAAGAATGCCATGAGACGCTGTGATTTTAATAGATTTGTTTCAAGCAGGATTCCCCAGAATGGCATGCTGCACAGTACATTTTACAGGCCATTAAATCAAGTATTATCATTAAAAAGCTTGTTTTGTTTGATGTGATTTATTAATTGTGAAATTATTATTATCTAGAAAAAACATAAAAGATCCAACAGAGTTCTAACATGGCAACCATATATTCTGAAACTATAAATGATTTGTTGACCACCAAAAAAAATTATATATATATAATTTTTTTATTTATTTTTTGCCATTACAAGTCAATGGTGACCAAAACTGTTTGGTTACTAACAAAATATCTTCTATCTTCTTTAGCGTTCTGTAGAAGAAAGAAAGTCACAGGTTTGGAACGACTTGAGGGTGAATAACTTTTCATTTTTGGCTGAACTATCTCTTTAGCTGAGACCCAGGGTTGTCCTGCACTCATCAGCATCAAAGTTCTTTTGCGAGACCTTCTCAGGTAACAGCTACACAATGACTGAATCTGAGTGAAATAAAAACTGACCTTTACTTTTGGGTCAAACCCAAAGTTAGAGTAATCTCAGCTGATGCTTAGTAATGATGCCTGCTAAATATTTCAGGCAAAGTTATAAAGAGAAAATGTGTCTGCTGTGCAGTCTGTATTGTGAGATCAAAAAATTTAAAATACACTTTTCAAATATTGTTTTAATTCCTCCTATCAATAAACCCCTCTAGGTTTTGTGTTTTCTTTGACAGATAGTACCAGCATTTTCACATGAAACCAAGCAAGGGTCCACAGACAGGTGTGTAAGTGAGGGATCTGTGTCTGCGGCCCAATCAGACATTGCAGGTGTTCCCACAGCACATGTCAGCATGCCCTGGGTCTCTGATCTTCAAGGCCCAGTGTTTGTCAGCTGTGAAAATGGGGCGGGAGTTCATGCAAACCCGTGGAAATACAGCCTTGGTAGCTTTGTAGTCCGTGTGGATTACAATAGTGCATAATTCATATCTTTACAGACTGCGGGAAGTGGCAAAGTCTCACCTGGTGTTTTAAGCTGTTGTCTCAGGGCAGATTTATGTTTGCACAAGGGTGGCGTCGGACAATATTCTCAGCAACTGTTAATCTAGAGCCCTTTTGCATAAACAACCTCGTTAAAGCCAAAGGACAATGCTGAATGATCTGTTAAATAATACATTACTGGGCAAAATTTTGGAATAATTAAGATTTGTTTGTTTTTTGTTTATTTATTTATTTAATTATTTTTTGAAAGAATTCTCTTATGCTCACCAAGGCTGCATTTATTTGATTAAAAATACAGTAAATGCTGTGAAATATTATTACAATTTAAACTGTTTACTATTTAAAAATATATATTAAAATGTAATTTATTCCTATGATGGCAAAGCTAAATTTTCAGCAGCTATTACTAGTTATTAGCTATTACCAGTTATATGTTTCATGTACACAAATACATAATGTTACATTGAAACTTTCGATTACACTTTATTTTAAGGTGTCCTTGTTACAGTGTAATTATACATTTAAGTAATGAGTAATATTAATTAACTATATGTACTTAGGTTAGGATTAGGATTAGGGTCCGGCGTAGGGTTACTTGCATGTAATATTATGCATAATTAATTGTTATTATAATAGTAAGTACATGTAAC